TGTTAATCCATTCGTAACCATCCAAATCGAATCACATACCATCAAATTCTTCGGAAACCCGTCACAAGATCCATGGGGATACTATCCCATGCCATTCAGAAATATTCAACAGTTGCATTAGGTCCAACAGTTTCTGATGTTCACACTTTGACTTTTAACAAGTCTAATCAACATATACAACTTCAACCACCTCTCCCTCCATCCATGCTCACCAAGACGATTTCTCAATTCGGTCACATATTCCTAGCACATGGATGGATACTCCATCTATCTCAATGTCCTTCTCCCAGGGTATTTTTATCCAACTCCCACTATTGGAAACACAAACTTTATTGTGACACTCATGGTACCATTTCCATCAATCCGAAGATCAGCTCTTCGATTGTTATCCATTAAATTCAATCAATCTATTAACTCAAATGAATTCCGACTCCCTCGGATCTCATCGAGAGTACCAATTGTCAGTCTCAACATACAAAGCTCAATTCCATAAGAAGTCTCTTCACATACTAACTCATATCCCGAATTTGCTTCCTCAGTTCTAGCTCAATACCATCACCATCAGTATATACAGGAATTTCTCATTTGATATCTCAGCCACCACATCGTCTCACCCAAATGGTAATTCAACCAAAACCACATTCCTTCAGAAGTCCCAATTATACAAACAACTTAAGCTCTTAAGGTTAGCAATCATTTCAAATCTCAACTAAACAATTGAGGTCTCCAAACTCCGACACAGACACACAACAACCAATTCCAAATTACTTGTTAGGCAATTCACTTATGTATCTTGAGTTGCCTTAAAGCATAACCAAAACTCGCTGATGTTGTACTTAACATATCTCTCAATCATATCAACCAAACATCACGAAACACAACAAATAGTTCTGTCGGATTTGGCCAACCAATACACGAGTTATTGACAGCTTCTCCCAAAAACTCTTTAAACTCATTCCCATTGGCATATCACTACTCTTTCTCAAATACCGATAACTCAAGTCTTCGATGTCCAACACGATCCTCTATACTCTTCGAATATCCAAATACCCTCGGTTACACAACTATCAACTCACTCAATTAAGTATGGAAAATCCCATATCAAACGGACACTCAATTCGTGAGTTTATGGCGAAAATACAAACCACACTTCCCGTACTTACTACAACATCCAAACGTACTCCATCAAGAAATAATTTAATTCCATGTTACTACTCCACCATCACATAGAGCATTGTAGCAACTTGCAACGCTTCTAATCCTGCGTCATTCCGAGTTACGGTTCTCTCATTACGACAAAATATAAAAACAACATTCCCACACTCAGAAGACCATTTACACATCTTCAACTCTTGAAATACTTAGAGGCCTAATCATACCAAGATTGTATTCCACCTCTTACTTTCTTTAATAATCACCAGAAATCACCATCCACCCTTTATATACTCGACCTCATAAACCGTTGCCGTAACACACACAGACACAAGTCTCCAAATTACTCCATCAATTTAATTCCTTGGCTAACCAATTAGACATATAACATGGAGCTCTCAATATCGGACTAGTTTCCGTAACTAAGTCGATCACAACTCCACTTCACGCCCTGGCTGTGTATCACTACTTTGTCAGGACAACTTCCAGGCATTCACAACTAATCGGTAAACCGCCAACTTTCCCCTTTCGTTAATACACAAAACTCCCAAGTACTTAGCCTTACTCCAAACAATTCACTACTCAGGCCATCTAAGCTTGCAAGACACGTCTATCCCATCCAACACAATCCTAACTACTATCAACAAGAGATTAAGGGTGATCAGTTCCTCAATTTGTCAATAAACAACCGAAATTATGATGGGGCATAAACCATATTTACCAAACTATAGGAGCGTCTAACCACACAGTTGCAGCATCCTGGAGAAGCACAACTTTCTCCCCCACTTGGATCACTCCCACTCATGCAGACAAGGTTTAGAACAACAAACGCGTACCGACAGTGTTTTCACACACATGTCGCATACAAGGGAACAAACAACATTAGACAACTTGGCCGGATGGACCGACCTGCTCTGATACCACTAATGTAACACCCTTCTAAACCCCACATGGAAAATAAGCATAATCAGAGTAGAATTAACATGCATTCACAAAGGGTGTCACACATATACATCCAGATTACTAAAAATCATATGTCATGCTCAATAAAACTGAAATAAATAATCATACTTTACAAAATTTCATTTGCATGTAGCAGCGGGTTCATTTATACCAAGATTTTTCATAAAAGAAATATTCACATTTATCACATAAATCAACATCACTTAGGCACTGAGGCCAATAACACAAAATACTTCCGAAACATAACCCAAATGATCCCAGTGTTACACGACCAGAGCATGACTCGACCCAATACAATTTAATCACTAAACTGCCACACCAATAGCGACCTCGCAACTAGGAGCAGTACTACACCTTGATACCTGCACGATGTCATGAAGGACATCATTCCAGCAGAAGGGTGAGAAATATTATCATAATAACAATGCATATAATCATATATATATATATATATATAAATGCACAAATACCGAATACATATATTCCACATTTTCTCACCACAACACATCATAAACGTCATATATGTCACAACATACGTTTACCTAATTAAGCACATTCATCAATTCTCATAAACACACACAACATGTTTATTCCACCAATTCACATAAACATCTATATTCATGTTTATTTCACCAATGCATCATATAAAGATGATAATGAAACTCATAGAGACCGACTCACGACTCTATGTAGATGCAAATGCGGTACCGACTCATTCAGCAGGTTCAATTGAAGAACCAAAGGAACCATCGCTCATTATCGAAGTAACTCCCCGTCGGACCTACGATGTTCACCCATCGCTCACACCCCACATGGGGACACGACGTTTCAGAATTGCTCACACCCCACAAGGGCACACAATCGTTCTGCAGATTCTCCACGAAATCAAATATAAACTATCACTCACACCCCACAAGGGCACACGATCGTTTCTGCATATCCTTCTAGGGATCAAGAATAAAACATCGCTCACACCCCACAAGGGCACACGTGGTTTCTGCAGATCCTCCATGGGATCAAGAATAAACCATCACTCACACCCCACAAGGGCACAGGAGGTTTCTGCAGATCCTCCACGAGATTAAGAATAAACCATCACTCACACCCCACAAGGGCACACAAGGTTTCTGCAGATCCTCCACGGGATCATGATACAAGAATGCAATCATGATGCTACACACGCACAATGACTCCACGCACTCTTGAAATGCACACATATTCACAAATATATACAATTATGCATTACACTCCACACAAGTACATACAATTATACACATAATTGCCAAACGGCCACATCACACACTTTCATACAACAATCACATACACATACTATATGACTCCTACAAACTCAACAACTCTCGCAAATCCTTATTTGGATTATGGGTACATCGCTTATACCCCACCAAGAACAGCTCCACAATTATTCTACCCCGGTGATCACTATACTATGAACGACGATTCTACCCCAGTGAGTAAGAATCTCGCATGTTTACATATTCTCAACATCAATATCACATTCATCATGCTTTCATGTTTAATTCAAACAATACATATAGTTGCCAAAATGCCATACTTCATAATCTAGGATTCACACCATAAGGCTACCCACAACACGTCTCATCTCAATAATGCATAAACTATACACGCTATATAAGGATTAACATCATTGAACCAAACAATTAACCTTGGGATGGAAAACACAATGTTGTACCTCAAATTTTACCCTTTAGATTCCTTGATCTTTTGCATATCATTTAAGTCCATCATCCATGCATAGCTAACCGTTTTACCCAATTTGTGTTTGCTGGAGGAAATTTGAAAGTCATAAAACCTGTGCATATGCCCACCAGGATTCTATTCTTCTACAGGTTGTGGACATAATGGAAGAATATATACTCAAGTTCATGATCAAGTAGTAACGATCTTGATCCAAGGCCTAATTTGTTCGATGACACCATTTCTAAAGCCACTTGTCCAGAAAGTTCATGGCATGCAGGAATTAAGAGCATGAACCAATCATGATTGGGTCTTGGTGTTTCAAGGGGATATTAAAGCCAGGATTAAAGTTGAGCCCTAAAATAATTTCTGATCATATTCCAAGTTATTACGTTACATGTGTTTTCAGAGGTTACGCATGAATTCAAGATGTTTTAAGATGACTAATACATTTCTAAGTTGATCACGAAAGAATATTTCAAGAAAACCGTTGGTTATGCCTCAGATTATTTTTCAAAGGCCATACGGTTTCAGGCGTGTTTGAACCATTTAAGAACGGCGGCATATTTGCATATGGTCTTAATTAAATCCTCGAGTTCGCTCCAAAGATACGTTCAATTCAGGTTTATTTGGATCAACGCTTCAGAGAGTTTCCTTTTAGCTCTCGTGGTCCTAATTAAAATCGAGTTAGTTTTTGGTTCAAAGTTGCAATATTTAAATTCAAAGTCATCATAATATTTGAACTACAAGTTAAGATTCATATTTACAATTCAAAAGTTCTTAGTTCAAAATACTTAAGATACAATGTAAATTCGGAAACATGAGGTTCAAAGCCATGTTTACTCGTTGGTTTATGATTATATAGCAGTACTTATACATAGTGTCATGCGCTGCTATTTGTCATTTAAAACGAGGCAGAGGTGTTGATGCACCATCTTGGAACTATAACCATCTTGGAACTATAACCATGTGCCAAAAGCTGATCATTACATCTTATAGTTACTACATCCCATTTCTCTAATTAGCATTGCAATATAAGGATCCATACAACCCAAATTCTAGTCGACAGAGTGTTGGCTTCGCAAGTGGCCATTATGGTAGTTATTCCCCACATGCTCCAGCCGCAGGTTTTCCTAGAGTTCAATTGGAATTCAAAGTAGTAACGGACCATGTACATTGCACCCCACTGCCTTGTCAAAGATGAAGGTTTCGCAAATTACGGTTGGAATGTAACGACGCCCTGCAGTGGAAATAATTCCAAATTGATTAAATACTCAAAAATTTTGCTTCAGAGGGATCATAAGAATAAAATTATTCACAACAAGAAACAACTTCACAATTACACGCAGTTGTTTCACCGCCACAGGTGGGATCACCGTCTACTTGAGCCAACAATCGCTTCAGCAAGCAAGTCCTCAGCAAATGAATCAACGAACTCCAATGAGCGCTCAGCAGATGAGCTCAGGGAAATTCATGGCATGAGTACTGGTAATCCCGAAGCTTGTCCAGCAGATCCTCAGTTGAGCTCTCAGACACTAGGGTCTGTTGGTAGCATAACCAATTCCTCTATGGATATGCAAGGTGTTAACAAGAGCAATTCTACCAACAACAACAACAATGGGCAGTGAAAATACTAAATCTCAACAATGGGCAGTGAAAATACTAAACCTCAACAATGGGCAGTAGAAAACCTTGAAAGTTTGTCCCCAGAATCATGATGGTTTGTTGTTAGCAGCTTTAGAGAGTTTAGATCGGGCTTTTGGTTGACGTCCGAGGTCCTATAAGCACTGAACTCTTTCGTACTCGTAAGCCTACAAAAGAAACCAAGTTCATAAGATGTTTGGGCCTGATAAGATTCGCAATGTGAGAGTCGAAAGTGGCTCCAAAGATGCTCATCCGCAGTACATACATGAAAAGAGAAAAAAGAGAAAAAGCAGCACTGCCTACTGCATTTGTGCAGTCCAAGTAAGAAGGCTTCAAAACCTTCAAGGTGTCACAGGAGTTTATGCTGCACAAAAGGACGTGAGGCACCGAAAGGCGAGTCATAGCTGCCTTGAAACCCAACTCATTTATAAACCCCTACAATCAGTTACGTTGTTATTTACAGACCAAGGTTTTAGTTACATAGACGACTGGAATTTATCTTGAACCCCCTCACGCTACTCTTTTATGTTTCCTCAAAGCTTTTTTCCGTTGTAACCCAAGCAACTACGAGACGTACACCTGAAAGAGATCACGAATCTATTAGTATACCATGAAAGCTCATTTAGGAGTACACGAAGGCTTGAATCTTCCCTCACTACCAGATCCATTTATGTGGTGATATTCGATGTTGTTCATCTTGAACAAAGCCTTATGACATAACTGATACCTAAGGGTAGTTGACTGTACCAAGGTAGAATCCAATGCCAAGAGAAATCGTCCTGATGAGTCGTGGCATGTGCATTAGTAGTACCAAACGAATCATCTGATGGATATGCTAACATCCTGACAAACGCACGAGCAAAGTGGTCAAAAGAAAAGCCTTTTTTTATTTATTGAGAAGGGGATCAAACTTTAATTTGTATTACAACTGAATTGTGAAACATTTAACTTCATGCTGATTGAACCGAATTCATACAATACAATACAAGTATACCTATAGGGAGCATCTCGTAAGAGTAAAAGGGAAAAGAACACGAGACTTGGATACTTGGACAGTGGTTAGAGACCTCTTACCTTTTTTATCAAACTCTGCCCCATTTGCTATTTATCACCAATATCTCCAGCCTCTAGCAACTTGCAAGCACAATCTGCAACTTGAGAAAATGGCATTTGGATTGCAAATAACAGAGTCGTGGCTTCATGAATACCTGGTACTCCCATCAAGAACTCACCTGCATATGCAAACAAGTGTGTTTGAATTCTCAGTGGGACAAAGATCTGCAGCAGTTGATTCTAGCTTCACCATCTTCTTCCTTGATTTACACCTTTTTTGTTCAGCCAAATGCTAAAGACGGACAATGTACACTAGTTAGTTATCAACCACCTCAATAGGAACTAAAAGCATGCCAAAATGAGGTAAACACTTTGAAACAGAAAAAGAGAGAGGGTATTATTGCTTTGAAGCCCCACCCTCGCAACATGGCTGTTTCTGGAGGAAAGTTACCTGTTCAAAACAATGACATTTAAAACAGTGTCATATCCAAAACAATCCATACAGTTTGAGTTAATGATCAAAATTTCATAAGTCAAAATGTCCTGCTAAGCAAATGATTCCAGACAGCATTCAAAGGGAATTTAATTTCAATAAAAATGTACTCCAACATGTTTCAAGCGGAATTAATTGAAGACTGAAAGTTTGAGGCTTAATCAGGGAAGGATACGCCAAAGTTGGCAAGGTTTTATGAAAATCAATACCATCATCAGACAAAATCAATTCAAAAATGGAAATTTGTAGCAATGAATCAAACATGTTCAGAGCCAAATATTGATTGTAATTTCTTTCCTAAACCAGCTAAAGACACGTTCTTGACTCTTTAAAAAGAAAAACACACTTCCAAAACAAGAACCCGACAAGAGAATATCGGATATTCACTCCGCAATCAGAAGTTAAAACACATAGCTTATAAAAGGAGGGAGAAGATTCACGATTCCAAAAAGAAGCCACAAAACGAGAATCATCACGAAAAGAACGCAACAAAAAAAAGAGAACAAACTTATTTGCGATAGTTCCACCGTGAAACCGCTGCCGGTGTCGAAATTCTCGGAGTTTCCTCAGAGCCACTCTCGTTGCAAAGCCTCTTCCGTCACCGCTAAAAGTTCCTCCGGAGAACCCTTCTAAACATCGCCACCGCGAGCCACCCTTTTAACTATCGATCCGCCACCAAAAAAACCCATGAAAAAATCCAGAACCGTGAGTTTCCTATTAGCTAACATTAACAATAAATTGTTTTCGTTTTCTATTTGTTTTATAGAAATCAGAAGTTGAAGGTGAAAGATTTGCGGAAGAATTGAGGAGAGGAAAGAGGGAGACGCGTTGTTTGGGTCAGATTGGGAAATTAGGGTTCCAAAACCCTTACCCCCCATTTCCATTCATTTCCGGACCGGGTTGGGTCTGGTGGGTTCACCACCACCGGCCCAACCCATTTTTTTTACTGTTTTATTTTAATTGTTTATTCATTTTGTAATTGTAATTATTAATAAATAAATAAAAATACTAACCACAAACTTAATTAGAAATAATAATTAAATTTAAAAATATTTTATTAATAATAAATAACATAAAATAAAAAATAAATCTTAATCTTAAAATAATAAAAAGGTTTTTTTAAATAATTGTAGGGTTCTTTTTATAATAAAAGTATAAAAATATAATTTTATTCTAGTAATTTAATTTCCATTTTTTTTCATAAATAAAAATATAACAAAAAATGTTCAGTTTAATTTAGTTTAAATCTCATTTTCATAATAAATATAAAAATAGCAAAAATAAAATATGTCATTCTAATTAAAAACATTTTAAAAAAGAATTAAAAGAATATTAAAAATATTTCTAAATTTAACTTCAGTTTAAGTTCTTTTTATATAAAGAAAAATGCAAAATCATATTTAGTTTTTAAGTTAAATTTTGATTTAGTTTTCAATTTAATAATTTAATCTAAATCTCATTTCTTTTTTTTTTCATAATAAATAAATAAAACCAAAATAAAAATATATAATCTTAGTTTTTAAATTCTTAGCTAATTTTAGAGCGTAAGCAATTTGTTTTTCTTAATAAATAAATAACTTCACCCAACCTTTAATAAAAATAACTTTTGTTAGTAATTCAGGATTTAGCTTTAGTTATTCTCTAATTTTCGATTAAGAACTCATAATAAACAAACTTTTTTCGATAAATAATTAATTCATCTTTGCAAATTAAGAGCATATGTTCAACTTAGCCATAAAATTCTCAAAATGTTTAGCTTCAACTTCTAAGTCAACCAAATCAAAACAATTCATCCATATCTCACCACCTCAACAACCCACACCCTTACCATTTCCCTAAACTTTAAAACTTTGAGTCACCGTACTCATGCTTAGGCGTCCCGCCGTGGACATCCACCCTTTTATCCTAGCCTTAGGATTGGGAGTCGCTGCACTCCACATAAGTTTCCTGCCATGGAATACTTATCCTACACCCTTTTAATTCGAGCTTTAACGTAGAAATAGGAGTCGCTGCACTACAAAGTAAGCGCTTCCCTATGAACGTTTACCTCCCCCCGGAACCTTGACCACAGTCAAGAAGTTCCTCATCTCCCTCTGAGAGGGGAACTACGAATACTCTGATTCCATCCCCTACCAAGGATACGCAGGCATAAGATGCGAGTCTTGGCGAGTATACTTAGGACTAACCCCTTAGGTCCTTCTCTTCACTCTTAACCCTCAGCATTTCCTTTAAGCAGATAACTATAGCAATAGCACATTTAAACAAGAGGTTCCTGTAGAGTACTACAGATGTTTAGGATGCTAATACCTTCCCTAAGCTTAACCAACCCCCGAACTTTAGATCTTTCCCCGCATTGTGTTTACGATGCAAAAAAGGTTTTCCCCTTTCTTTAACCTTTCCTTCGGATAAATCAAAGACCGATTGTAAATGAATTAAGATTCAAGTTACTCAATAGCTTGACATCCAAATTTCACCGCAACAGAAAATGGCGACTTCACTGGGGACAAGATATCAGTGGGTTCCCCTAACTTGTTTATTATATTTGTTGTATACTTGCTTATTTGCTTATCTGTTTATTTTACTGCTTTTTGGGATGACCCTTGAGTGGTGAGACAAAGTCCTACACCCGGACTTGAGTGAACTTAAGATAGGATGGTGATATATTCGATAAGGCTTATAGGGAGTGAGTCCCGACCAAGTTGACTCGAGAATCACCGCTCAGTTGAGACCCTTTCTAAAATAGTTCGGTTGAACGAGTATAGTCGTGAAAACTTTTACTATTTTTGATTGGAGTCCATGATATTGAGGACCGTAGTTACCTTTAACCCCACTTTGGCCTTTACTAGGACGTAGCGCGAGACTATGAAGGAGTAGTCCCGAAATAGTGATACGCGATACTACACTCAAAAGAGGTTCTCTTGAGAATATTATTAACCACCGAGTCAGTCGGGAAATTGATAATATCCGAAAGATGGACTAATGACTTTGGGGACCTTCTTAGAACCTTGTTCTGCAGGTACAATTAACACATAGTACTTACCTTTCGGGATGGGTAGACCTTGGCTCCGCTCATGTTCTTCTAACCTAGGACCTTTGTGTGCTTTGTGTGCTTGTGCATTGCATCCAGCCTCATATCATTCTTGGTTTCAAGGAGTTCAACTGTCCTTTGCAAATTCAAAAAAATCCTACATTTCAAACTCTAAAACTTTTTCAAGATTTCCTCAAAAATATTTGCAATCGACCGTTGAAATCCTTGAAACCAATGCATTGCATTGCATCCTGTTTTTGCATTTGCATTTTTCCCCCGGTTTCTCATCCTTGGTTCTCTCGCTTCCAGTCTGTCACCCTGAGTCCTCTGCATCAATACAACACCAGAGCTCGAGCTCGGAAAAAGATGGCGGAGCAGAATCAAAAGCTTGATCGGGTTAGCAACGAACT